TCAACTGATGAAAAACATTTACACTAAAAGCACATTTGGAGTCAGAGTGGGGTACTATACTTGGGCAGGTTCCAATGACTAAAAAAGTGAAGTTAATCGGGGAAAGAAGTGAAAAATTGAGTTGATACACAGAGAGAAGCAAATATGGAAGGCTATAAAGTTGCTCTGAGAGTCAAAGGGAGCAGCCTTGGTACTGACTCTCCTCTCCCATTTCAAGGTTGCCTGACGTCTACCTATATTTCATTTCCTGACTTTGGATGCTATAAGACTTTCTGCTGCATCCACATCATAATTAAGTTACCTTTAATACTCTTGTGAGTTCTCAACCTAACATAAATAATGCTCACAGAATATAAATAGTGATTTCTCAGGGCCACTCTGCTATTGTGGAATAAGACAGAGTAAAGGACACTAGGCTAACACACACACACACACACACACAGAGCCCCCCACACACCCCTAAACGTTTTCTCTTCTAATTAACTTAGGTGACTACTGATTCTTTATTACTAATGATAACTATAGGCTCACTGTAGTTCTTAGGACTCCTGAATCTACAACTGAACCTCTGAAGTGCATCCTCCATTGCTGCAGCAAACCAAATAAATATAACCATTGGACCAAAGGTTGTTTTGTCATCTTGGGCTGGTGGATTTTGATACTTGCATACATACTGACTCTAATTTTTATGCATTAGTTTGCAAATTTAAAACTTAGAATTTTCTTATAGAAAGTTCACTAAGCTCCAAATAACTACTGTCTCCAAAAATCTTTAATTATTGCCAAGAGAAAACACACATACACCAACTGTACCGTTAATGAGCAACCTTAAAAGGTATGAACTACATTGAGTACTCTAGAATCATATAATAGTAATTTAACACAGGATGACTAATAAAGTGATAGACAAATTAAGAAAATGAAACAACACTATTTTAGCTATTTTAAAGGACATAGACAATACAAAGTATCAGTGATTATTTTATAAAAAAAACTACATGAATACAAGTGTAAATTAAGAACAAATGAATATAAAACAACAAGTAAAGATGCCATTCAAATGCACTTTATGTTTACTTGAAATTAAGAATAATTGCCTTCTCTTTTCATAGGACATAAAATACCTTCACTTATCTAAATCCAGCTTTGTTCCTACCATTTAGATATACATGATGAAGTCAAAGCAATGGGATTTATTCATCATAAGCACTATTTTTAAATATTCAATGGCTAGCATAAAGATATTTTTATCATGTAAATTTCCTGAGTCCTTTATAATAGTTTGACAGTTTTTCTTCTCAGAGGAGAGGAATAATGTTTCAAATGAGAAAAAGGAGGGAAATGGAAGAGAGGGAAAAAGAATGGTCAAGAATACATGTACAAGAATGAGAACATGAAAGGACATGTATTTCCAGAGGCTGGGGTGGAGAGCAAGAATAGACCTTGGATGAGCACAGCAGCCAGCTCACAGGTGTGGATGACTGATCAGTACTGGGAATTCTTACCACAGAACACAACATTTTACCTGTCTTACCACCTTATTTTCAAAACTTACCTCTACCAATATTAGTAACAAAAATAATGTTCTTGTCAAGTATAAGGAAAAAATACTGAATATTATGTACCAAAATAAGCTAGGCAATACAATATAAACAATAAGATATTTCCTATTTATAAGTGATGAATAATTTTATCAAAATTGTATAAATAAAATGGCACAAGATCACATAAGAGAAGACATTAATTAGACTTAAGGAATCTGAAACAGGATTCAAAGGATGAGAATAATTTGGGGGAGAGAAAAAAGGAAAAATATCGAATGTAGAAGAAGAGTTATACAAAAACAAGGAAATGTAATAACATGTGACTTGTTTTCATGTTTAATTAATGTCTTCTATTAAAGAGGACAGAAACTAGTTGAGTCTGAAAAGGAAAGTTATAACTAAATTTTGAGGGATACAGAATGTTGTTCTGTTACAGATGTTCCTCGATTTTTGGATTGTATTGATTGGCAGAAATTTGGAGGACATACTGTAAGTGTGTCAACTTTCTATTTAAAAAATACAACTCAAAATCTAAAATTTTGCCATTTACTATCATCATTTTATTATGTAAAATACTTTTAACGCAAAAAAGGGATATGAACATTACATCCACATAGTTTTAAAAATGGGATATATTAAACTCTTCGGATGCAGAAAAGTTACAACATAAAATTGTATTCTGCCAGATGAACACAAAGAGAACTTTCAATATATAACATGTTCCAATGTTTCATTTCTAGCATAGTCACTTTTTCTAAAAATCCAAGAGGTGTGTTCTTAATACCCTTTCAACTCAATTCAGAATATTTTAGGTAACCTTAGGGAAGCCCAAGAAAAACAGCTCTCAATTCCTACCCAGCCTTTTCTCCTACCTTCTCACTGCAGTGCTGGGAAGAAATAAGAAAGAGTCCAGATGCCTGGTCATAGAAAATTCTGGACAGGGGCTATCTGTGTGGGGTGGGGTCTTGCCTGACCAACACAGACAGTTAAAAGTTATCTCACAGTAATTCCTTAGAGCTTCACATTGTCACAAACTGTCACTGAGGAACCAGGAACATGGGTCTTATAACTTAAAATAATTCCTTCTTTGCTTTGGCTGCTGGAAAACTTAGTGTTGATCTGTGTCCCAGTTTTAATAACACTACAAGGACTCAATACTAACATTTCTAAATGTATTCTCTGTTTATTTTAGCATGTCTTGGACCACTATTTATATATTTCTCATATGAATTTGTCAAATAATTTTAGGAAAAAAAATATATATAAATACAGAAAAAATAAGGGACTTTTAGTGAATGAGGAAATATTTAAGATTTATTTTTTCAATAATGTTTATTAATTTTTTTCTTATGGTAAAGTAACACATTAGGGGGTCATTGCACTAAATATTCTCTCAGTCTAGAACGCTTTTCTAGTAAGCTGTATGACTCACCTCCTTTCAGTCTTTGCTTAAATGTAATTTTTATCATTGGTCTATTTAAAATTACAGAGCATGTTAGAAGATGGTAAATACTATGTTAAAGGGTAAGTTCAACACAGCACTTTTGGGATTCTAAAAATGGCAGAGTTGGGTTGCAGTTTTTTTTTTTTTTTTAAAGATTTTATTTATTTATTTGACAGAGAGAGAGATAGCGAGAGCAGAAACACAAGCAGGGGGAGTGGGAGAGGGAGAAGCAGGCTTCCCGCCGAGCAGGGAGCCCGATGTGGGACTCGATCCCAGGACCCTGGGATCATGAGCTGAGCCAAAGGCAGACACTTAACGACTGAGCCACCCAGGTGCCCGGGATGCAGTTTTAAAGAGGGTGATTTATTAAGTAAACCGCAACCCGACCCTGCCATTTTTAGAATCCCAAACCCCTGTGTTGGACTTATCCTTTAACATAGCATTTACCATCTTCTAACATGGTCTATAATTTATTTATTATGTTCAATACTTATCTAAATGTCCTCTCCTTGCTAGAATATAAGCTCTACAAGGCAGGGATTTTTTTTTTTTAACAAAGGTTGGTTTTGTTTTTTTTTTTCTTTTTCTTTTATAAAGTATAGTTGACACACAGTGCTACATTAGTTTCAGGTGTACAACATAGTGATTGGACAACTTTATATGCTCATCACAAATGTAGTTTCCAACTGTCACTGTACAATGCTATTATAATACTACTCACTATATTCCCTATGCTGTAACCTTTCATCCCCCTGACTTACTCCTTCCATAACTAGAAGCCTGTCTGCCATTCCCCTTCACCCATTTTGCCCATCTCCATCCCCCTCTCTTCTGGCCACCACCAGTTTGTTCTTTGTATTTATGGGTCTGTTTCTGCTTTTGTTTTTTCATTTGTTTCCTTTTTTAGATTCCACATCTTTGTCTGTTATAAACTAATACATTCCAAGTACCTAAGAAAATGCTTGGCCTTGAACAAGAACTCAGTGCTTTAAAAAAAAAAAAAATGAATAGCTCACCTGTGTATCACTGTTCTAAGAACTTTATATGCATTATATAATTTAATCTTCACAAGAACCCTGGGAGGGAGGTGCTATCACTGACTGTATTTTATAGAAAGAACCTAAGTTACAAAATGCCTAAATAATTCACAAAGATCAGAGAGCTAAGAAAGTAGTAAACAAAGATTTAAACCCAGTCACGTTATTAACAATTACTGTCTCACCTAATAGAAACAGATTTCATAAAAGCAGCTGAGACAATGAGAGAACAATCACAGGAAAATGACAGTAAATAGAAAGTGAAAAGCAAAAAAATATACATAAGCCTGCTAAATTCAAGGAATAGTACCTAAAGCCATTATTTATTCACAGGATCATCTAGATATGGATTACCCCTTTCTGAAGTTCTTGAATATTTATAAAACAAACTTTTTAAAGAAATAAGGCTTCAGATAACCATATTTTTAAAAGCTGCTCTCTAATACTGGTGCATTAATTAAATCTTCATAATAATTTATCTGCTTTCCCTTCTCATTCCACTTAAGCTGCTGTTGAGTAAAAGACAATAGTTTTGTCAATTCCAGGTTAAGTACTTCTTTACATTTTCTCAGTTAAGAATTTTCATATTACAAGTATTATGTGAATAAGGAAATCACTTACAGAAGCATGGCTCTTAGAGTTAAAAGGAAATTTTAGAGCGTATTGTTTAGTAAACACACCAACCTAATGAAGGATATACTGCAGCCCTGGTAGACTAGGATTTTCAGAGCCAGAGCCTCCTAGTCCAACACTTTTTCAAAGTTCTCCATTCTGTTATTAGCATTGACTGTGAAAACATGTTATTTTTCAAAATGAATAAGAAGAAAGCATGTATGAGTATCTTATTAGAATTTGTGGCAGCAATGTCTTTATATTCTTTTGGCAATAAATATTCCTCCAGAAGTACAATTTATATCATGAGTAATAGATACATTATAGGAAACTAAAAATAATTAGAATAGAGAGAAATCATACCTTCTATCAATAGCTCTTGTCCATGACTGCCAAGAAGTGTACGAGATAGGAATGGGGCAAAGTCTACAAAAATTTCACGAAGAAGAGGAGCAACTTTTTCTAAAGCTCTTTCAAGTTTTGCAGTGATGCTGTTGAAATTAAGACATAAAGACTAGTAAATATAATTCAATACAAAAAGTCAAATAAAGTTTACTTCTAAATTAAAATCTTGAAAAATCAAAAGTACAATTCTAACTCATGGAATAGTAACAGCTTCAGTAGAAGGGACACCCTGTAGAGTTTCACATCAATCATAAGGCTAACTCTGAAGACTGCTGCTAAAGTAGAATGACCAGGGATGCCTGGGTGGCTCAGTTGGTTAAGCCCAGGACTCTAGATTCTGTCTCAGGTCATGATCTCAGGGTCATGAGATCAAGCCCTGCCTGTGCTCAGCAGGGAGTACACTTGAGATTCCCTCTCTTCTTCTCCCTCTGCCCCACCCCGCCATGCTCTCTCTCTAAAATGAGTAAATAAATCTTTAAAAAAAGGTAGAATGTTCTGTGAAAGGCAACTGGGATTCTATAACCTGCAAGGGACACAGACTCTGCTCCTAGCTCTATGTCTTCCATGACTATCTTTCTATCTATGAAAGAAAATTGTTTTGAACACCTACTACATGGATCATTGTGTCAGTTACAAAGAATTAACCTGTACTCTCTAGAGTTGCCTAAAAATTCTCTGAAAAGCTGGACAAATAAAGGAATAACTAGAATTCACTGTAATACAATTAAATTGCTATGCTTAAGTAGGCATTTTCCATTTCATAAGCCCACTTACTATTATTTACCAATTCCTGCATTATTATTTATATTAGTTCACTCTTAAATTTTAAGTTATATGGCCTCATGTAAGCACTATTTGACATTCTTGAAAATACTTCAAGTAGTATATGTAAAAACAAAATCGGGGTAAAGAATAATTCTGCTCAAGCAAATAAATAATCTGGTAACATCTAACTATCTCTCTTAGATATAAATGCTTTGAATTAAGACTGTGAACTGGAATGCTGGTTCTCTCTTATGCTACCTAGGTGAGCTTGGGGCATTAGACTTCCTTTGCCTACAAAATGAAAATGACCATAGTGCCTACTGGTGAGGATTAAATGCAATAAGTCACATAGAATGCAGAGAAAAGTACCCAGCACACAGTGAGAGGTCAATAATGGCAGCTCTTACAATATAATAGCTACTTTGAATATAAAAAAACTATATTTACTCTTACAAAATGTAGCTCTGATTAAAAAAACCAAAATCAATATAATAATATAATGTTAGAGGACTACACACTGTTCTACACAGAAGACATGTACAGCAAAAATTTAAAAATGCTTCAAAATAATAAAAGTTCTGCCACAAAGCTAAGTAACATTTTGCTATATGTGAGGAAAATATAAATGACAAAAAAGTAATTAATCATTGAATAATTTTTAAATATATTACTAATATTTAAAACTAAAGTACTGCATTGTTAAGTGATTAAATAGGGGTGAGGGAATAATCTAGGATTCCTTCTTTCCTAACTTGGAAACAGCATGATCTGAATCATTTGTGCACTCAAAGCCTCACCATTAGCACTTCTATCTGATTTTGTCTCCTCTTATGTGGGTCAACAGCTTTAGGGAAAGAAGTCAGAGAGGAAACTGGTGTGAGCACTTCCACAAACTTTAAAGAGAATATTCTAGAGGAACAACTTTGGGCAAGAAAAAGGGAGCTGAGTAGGGCTTTGAAGACATGTTGAAGATACAGAGAATTCTCAATATTCCCCCTTACTCTGTTATTCCTGAACTAAGTAAGCACCTTCTTTAATTTTTTTTTATTATTATGTTCAATTAGCCAATATATAGTACATCACTAGTTTTTGAGGTAGTGGTGATAAGCACCTTCTTTAACCAATGGTTCTCAAATTTTCATGTAGATCAGAATCATCTATAATGCTGTTTAAACAGACTCCTAGAACCCCATCCCCATAACTTCTGATTCAGTAGGTCTAGGTGTACTGTGAGAATTTGCACTTCTAACAAATTCTCAGGTGGTTTGCTACTGCTGATCCAGGAAACACACTTTGAAAATAACTGTTTTAATGAGAGTATTTACTACTACTAAATTGTAATAAAACAGCAAAGGGAAGGCTACCTGAAGTCATAAAATAATCATAATAAGCTATCTCTGACTCTTAGTGAATATAGACAGAACTCCTTTTTTTTAATATCTATTAATTAATCCATTCCTTCTAATCTCCAGGATCATGTCCCATAACTTCCCAGATAAAGTAATCCCCTCCTCTAAAGAAAGATGAGCAAGAATGCTAAGAGCAAGCCTATGAAGAGGGGAAAAATCTAGATGTTACTGTTTCTGTACCTGAATTCTGAGTGAAGCATGAATATTTTTATTTAAGATTAATTAATGAGAGTGAAATTACCTAAGAAAATTTTTAGATGTATAAAGGTTCACATCATAGCTATACTACTGTAATATACTATTATCTAATTAAATTCAGGAAAATTTTTCCCCAGTTTATGACTTTTTTTCCATAATTTATGGGTTTATGTATGATTTGGAGGCTTCAGAATTGCAACAGTACTGTTCTAGGTTACATATCAAATAGAAACTTCAATTAATTTAATCAACTAATCACATAAGTGTGTATGTGTACATGTGTATTAATTACCTTGACTTACGGGTAAGGGATAAAAACAGACATTTCTCAATGAGTGAATCCCTACAATAGTATTTTAAGAAGCAACTATTTTCTTATAAAACCCAATAGAATATTAAACGATGCTCTTACATATCATTCAGTAATCATAATTTTAATATTCTAATGGGGAACAAACAATGTAATATTTTCCCCAGCAAGAGATCAAAGGCTTTAAGTACAGCAAATCATCATCAAATAATACTGCCAGATTTCTCTATCAAACAACAGCCTATTCTTTTTTGTTACTGTTGTTGTTTTTCTAATTTTTATTTTATTTAAAAAAATTTTAATTCCAGTAGAGTTAACGTGCAGTGTTGAATTAGTTTCAGGTGTACAATATAGTGATTCAACTATTCTATAAATTATTCAGTGCTCATCATGATAACTGTACCCTTAATTCCTACCTCTATTTCACCCCTCCCCCATCCCCTTCCCCTCTGGTAACCATCAGTTTGTTCTCTATAGTTAAAAGTCCGCTTTTTTGTTTTGTTTCTTTTTTCCTTTGTTCATTTGTTTTGTTTCTTAAATTCCACATATGAGTGAAATTGTATGGTATTTCTCTTTCTCTGACTGACTTATTTCACTGAGCATTATACCCTCCAGATCTACCCATGTTGTTGGCAAACAACAGCCTATTCTAAGTGGAAAAGTTTCACCATCACTTTTCTACAGTGAAGGAAATGGACAGGTTTTGTTGTTGCTGTTGTTAATATTTATAGATTCCACACAATGTATTTTAAAGGAAAGTAAACATCGGATAAGAGTATGTGATCTTCATCTTTACACAGTTTAAATTCTCAAAGAACATGATATAAATGTAGATCTCAGCTTAATACCCTCCTCTATCACCAGGCAAAGAAGCACCAATTACAAAAAAAAAAAAAAAAAAATACTGGTATTTCATTCTCATCTGAGAGAAGGGCACAATGTAAAACTCCCTCTTCTCAAGATATACCTGAAAATTTATGTTAACATGTAAAAAATAAATAAATAAAACACTTTAACACAAGAGAACTCCTTGGCCTTATGTCCTATGAAAATAAATGAATTATTCTCTTCATTTTGAATATAATTTTTTAAAACAGCACATGTAATAACTACCAGAAAACAAGGTTCTTTGGCAAATTATTTTGTAATAAAAATTAGCATATTTTACTTGATTTAGGGAAAAGAGTAAGTAATAATTTTTCAGTTTTATTTGAAAGCTTATTTTCATTTATTCAAGTTAAGATATTTTATGCACAAAAAAATTTGAAGGTTCAGTACACAGGTAATTTGCCCTACATAGTATTGAGTGAGATTTATAATCTTAACACTCTAGCAACTTCTTAGTATTTAGGAAAGTTCTTGGGCCCTAAATTTTCCAATTCCAGGCTGAAATGCATTCTCTTAAGTTTCTCATTCCCCTCTCCCTACTCAATTTTTTTTTTCATTCCCTTCAGTCACATTAATGATGCTTATGATGTTATTTTGACATTGGCTATTTTTCTTGATAGTTAAAAGTGCAAATTCTTTTAAGAAAGAGAATTACCGATTTCCATGAAGAAAACTACTGTTGCAAGTTGGGTAATTTATCAACCACTCTCACAAATTCTCCAACAATAAAAACAAAATATTCAAAGAAAATAATAATGCTTTAGATGAAATTTAAATTTAAAGTGTTAATGCCTGGATTAAAATTTCAATTTAAAACACAAGAGTTTTAATATTATGGTTTTAAAAATCACAATTACGTATTGGCTTTTACTTATATTAAGAAAATCTCATTTACAGAGATTTACAGTTTTAAGAAATTTTATGAATAAAGATAGATAGAAAAAAATGTATGAAAAAAATGTATGAAAACCCATGGTTGCAATTATTCTCAAATCTTGCCAAATGTAACTGACCTCGGGACATATCAAAGGCCAAGGAGATTATTAATAAATTAATCAGCAGAAAAAAGTAAGATTTTTGTCTCATTTTCTAAATTAATCTCCTCATAAATATGTTTCACTACAAAGTATTGATTATTTTCAAATGTTATATCCTTAAGAATTCTAGAAAAACACAGTAATTTTACTTTCATTTAGGACACTGCTTATGTTGTGAGTCCTATTTTAATAAACTCCTTTACACTTGGGCCACTTAATGAAGTTATAATTCTTACTTTTGGTTTTAGTATTTTGCATTCTCCTAGGTCCTTAGCATGTCATAAATATAATAAAACTTAATACTTTAATTTGGTACATTTAAGTTCTTAAGTTTCTTCATTTCTTAAATCATATAAAATGGTTATATATAATAATAAAATCTAGAATGAAAATAACTATGTAACTTTAAGCAATGTACATAAAAGACAGCTCAGTTATAAAGGAAATTATTACACTAGTGAATTCCACAACAGATTTCA